ACAGTACATTCACCCCTCCCCACCCCACAAAAAAAAAAAAAAAAAAAAAAAAATAACGAAAACATTTTCCCGCAAAAATTTACTCCAGCGTATTAAATATACTCTGACTAAAATTTACTACACAAAAATACGGCACTAAGAAATCGTGTCTGTTCAATTACAACTCGCCTCTTCAATTCAGAAACAAAACGTTACACAATGAATTGGTTTTACATAATGTACGCATACTGTAGTACTGTTTGAAAATCTCTATACCTATTACACCCTGATTGCACGTACTTACAGGAGCTGTGTCACAGCTTCAGTCCTCACATTACAATGGCTCGCTCACACACTACACGAAATCGTGACTTTCTTGAATCTATAAGCTTTAGGTTTTAATCCGATCTGTCAGCAAGTTCTCTTTCGCTCAGTTATGTTGTTAATTTAAAAATAACAAAGTTTAAAAGGAGTAAAATCACGCCATCTCACAAACACGCTACACTCTTGCTTCGTAACAGTTGTTTTGAAAGTTATGGACCAAAAGACACTCGTTAAGCGCAGGAGAGTTTATAAGGTGGCTGCGTTTAACTGTGTATATATAAACACTTGGAGAGAGTTTGCCAGACACGAGTTCACAAATCTTTGATTTATATTGGAAACCTTGCCAGACACTCTTTCTCTCTCTTTGATCGGAATAAGACTCAGCCCCAAACAAGCAAGACGAGTAAACAACGGCTAGCTTATCACTAGCAGATTGATGGACATTTACAAAAATTCGCCGACAATCAAATTCTGTGCTGACTTATTCCCTGCTCACAGATGTCCTTCCGTTATAAAGTTTCAAATGAGACTAGAATGTGCGAGCATGAATCGATCAAACGTCCTTTTAATTTCTAAGGCTTACTTTCCGGCAAATAAAATGAACTGAATGTAAAAAGGGAAAGAGAAATAGCGAAAAATTCAACTTCTAATTAAATCTTTTCCTATGGTTTAGAATAAACTATGCTCGAAACTGAGAATGTTTTGATCAAAGCTGTGTAAATCGAGCTGAAACTGAGCATGGAACCTTGCGTTTCCTGTATTTATCTAACCTATTGTATGGAATATGTGTGAAAATCTTCATTATGAATCGGTATATTTCAAAGAGCTACACAACCAGCAAGAATACTATTGACCGACAATATACAGAACGGGGGCAGCTGTAGTGTCAACTATTACTAGTTTATAATAAGTATATTTACTCATTGTAGCAACGTACGCTCAGTGGTACATATACCAGCATCTCAGGCATCTCACGATCAGCCCAATAGATTCGGCAAGCAGAATTGTCAAAGTTTGGTCAGTTTCAACGCGATAATTACTGGGCTGCCTGTGCGGCCCAGTCATAAAATGGGCTTTCGGTCGTCTGCGGCAAAAAACGGCCTCCCGGGGGAGGGAAGACACGAGGGTCTGGTACCGAGAAACGATGTTCTCACAAATGGTTTCATATGATTTTCTCTTGCACGAACCCTTGCACGGATACTTTTTGTACCTCGTCTGCGCTCCCCCTGAAAAACCCACAAAGCGTTGCGAACCTGAAGAAGGCTATTTGCTTTGTTCGAAGCGATTCCATCATGGGAGTCACTCTATAATTCTTTTATTGCTCGAGTTTAAGTCAGTTAGATGATGTTGGCGCTGGGAAACTCAGAGAAATGCTCGCGTTGCATTCAAACCGACACGCCGTTCACGGTAGTTCACACTAAAAGATGACTGTGAGCGTCAGGTTTGGAACGCCGTGGCCGCTTCGTGAACTCAAAGAGAGAATTATCGATCGATGTAGTACATGAGCAATTAAGAAGCACAATTTATGAGCAAGGTATTTCACCAGTTGACGACACTATGACTGAAGACTTGATTGTAAGTCTCCGTAGTCAGTGAAGCGAACAACTCAGTTGCCGATGGATGGCACTACGCACGTCCATGAGCGAGGGACGTGACAACTTTGCCATGTTAGAAGACTGGCTTTTCCTTTAAATATTTCCTTCTATTTAATGCAACACACGCCACTTTGGAGGTCTAAATTTCGGATACTGAGGATAAAGAAGACACGGACAAAAATAGGGACTCTGAGAATTTCGCACACAAGTTTAAAGCTTCACCGGGACATCCCATCCGGGAGCTTCACAGAGAGCGACTTGAGGAAAATAGGAGCTATTACTGACAAGGTTTGGTGACTGAGTAGAGCATACAAGTGTAGCCCACGTCGAGGTTTCAGGGGGTTTGCTTTTGTTTGTATTTGTATCTTGCTAAGCTTTTATCATTAAATTTGTACATGATCTTGTGATCACAATTCTGTGTTTTCGCCCATTCAGCAAGCACGCTATATTGATGTCAGCATTAGCGAGTTTCAGAAACATGCCTTTGAAAGTTTTCAGCTCTCGTGATGTTTCTTAATATTTCTTTTACCATTTTGTGGAGATGTAAACTGAAGTGACCGCAAAATGGAAACTTAAAAAAGCGTATAATCCATTTATCTCGA